CTGTATGCCAAGTTTGGTTCAGATCCATTTTTGGTAGGGTTCACAGGGCTCTCTGGATGTGGGTGAACTATAAATCCAAACATCCAAGGTAAATTCACTACAAACCCTGCCAGTATTTAAAGCTGATCATGTTGGCTCTGTGTGCTAAGTTTGGTCTAGATCTGTCATCGGTGGGAATCACAGGGCTTTCTGGAAGTAAGAAATATATACAAACATACATACAAACAAACAAATATATTTTTTACTTTTATTTTGTATAAAAGTAGATAGAGATATCCATGTGTATACTTCTTTTCCAGGTTGTGAAAACAAACCGTACTTCTAAACACTCCTCGGCAGAAACACAGGAACATTTACAATTTCAATTGCCCACACTATCTTGAACATAGTGAGCAGGAAAGCTAGATAATGGAGCATGCTTTAAAAAAACAAAAACGAATCTGTCCTCTTCCTCTGCTCCAAAAACACTCCTCCTTATTCTCTTATTTATTTCAGTGCAACTAAAAGCCGAATAAATCCTTCATTTCCTGCTGCTGAAGTGCGCGTGCACACAAACACCCGCACCAGATTGACTTTTGAGTCGTTCTCACACTTGCTGTTTTGACACATCCACCTCTTTTTTCCCATCCTCCTTAATTAGTATGTTCAACAAGACGAGGCGGATGCGCCTCTTCTTCAAATGGCTCTTTGAAAAGAATTAAAAAGTTGATAGCCGAAAGAGAGAGAGAGAGAGAGAGAGAGAAACGGAGAAAGAGCAAACGGCAAAACATATATACAATACCATTTGGGGGTTCAGTATCTGGATTTGAAAGCAGCTTGGGGAGGAATGTTCTTTTTGCCAAAGCAGCAAATAACCAACAGCCCTTCTACACTGCCATATAAAATCCAGATTATCTGCTTTGAATTAGATTACATGGCACTGCAGACTCATATAATCCAGTTCAGAGCAGATAATGTGAATTATCTGCTTTGATAATCTGGATTATATGGCAACGTAGAAGGTTGCTTTTCTTCAGTTCCACCAGTCTTCATCCCTCCTTATGTGTCGTATTGGTCTTTTAAAAAATTATTTATTTATTTTGATACATCTCAACAATCAACAAAATTTTGCCGTATAGGACTTATTTCAATATACATTATTCCAAAAGTAAGCATTCCTTAAATGACCTACTGTACCTTCCTTAGTTATGGAACAGCAATTCTAAATCTTGTCATTGCATCAATTTAACTGTGTGGAAAGCCTGGTTCAAAATGTTGTATCTATTGTCTCCGTCTATTTTGTCTATTAACACAGACCATTTCCTAAACCAATCTTGTTCTATTTGATTATTTATATACTTGTTTTTCCTTTGATTGATAAAATCATTAATTATATATTCTGATAGATAGGCCCTCCAGGTTTCCAAATCCCATTTTGTATCGTCTCTCCATCCCCGGGCTATCGTGGCCTGTATTGCGGCTGTCATATATTTTAGGATTTCTGTCCAATTATTGTTATCTTCCTTTGCCTTTATGGTGAGGGACATGAACCTGGCTTTATCCCACATTAATTCTTTCCCTATCATGTCTTCCATTACCGTCCTTATTTTACCATAATAGTTCTAGATTTTTCTACAATCCCACCACATGTGGGAGAATGAACCGATCCCCCCACACTTGTGCCAACATTTGTTTGAGATATTTCCCATAATGTGTGCTAATTGGGTGGGGGTTCTGTACCATTTGGAGATCATTTTCCTTTGGGTTTCCTTAATCCTCATATGTTTAATTTTATGAATATTGTCAATCCAAGACCCAATGAATTTCTCACTGAAGTTTTCCTCTTGTTTCCAATTTTCTATTAGTGTTGTTTTTGTTTTGTAAGTTAAGGTGATTAATTCCTCATACAGTAGCCGGATAATCCCTTTGTCTATTTCTACTTTCCTTTTAATTATTCTGTCAAGTGGGATTTCTGTTACTTCTCTTCTTTTCATGGCCTGAGCTTTACTGGACAGGCCTAACCATTCTATCCAGTTTCCTTGACCACATTTATCTTTTATCTTATCCCACTTTATTATTTCTCCATTGGGTTCCATGAGGTCCCCTATCCTTTTGATTCCATTTTCCTTAAGTGCCCTAATTAGATCCCTGAATGTCTTGTCCTTATTTTCCAAGGTTTCTAATGGGAAAGAGTTGATTTTGTTTATTTTTAATTTATTTTGCCATTTTTTCCAAATTAACAACGTTGTTAAGCATGGGCCGACTTTAAAGTTCTTTAAGTCTTTTCTGTCTATTCTCTCTCCCATTTACGTTCCCCTTTGCCAACTGTTTGCTTCCTTTTCTATTTGCACCCATCTTTTCATCCCTTCCAATTCAAATTCTAATAATCTTGCCAGCTGACTTGCCTCATAATATATTCCCAAAGAGGGAGCCCCCCATCCACCCATTTCTTGTTTACTATAATATAAAAAGTTGGCAATTCTGTTTTTGTTTCCTCCCATTACCCATTTTTTAATAGAGTTATCCCATTTATTCAGCAATTTGTTAGGGATATTCACTGGGAGAGTTTGGAACAAAAATAGGAATTTGGGCAAAATCATCTTATAAATTTTTAACCTTGTGGATATGTCTCACAAGGATATGTGTTAATTTGTTTGCTTATATTTTTCCGTAGACAATTAAAATTCATTGGTATGATATTATTGAGATTTTTTGGTATATTTACCCCCAGATATTTCATCTCCCCCCCCCCCAATTTAACTCCCACAATATTTTGAATCTTTTTGAGTTTTTTCCCATGATAAATTTTTGTGTAGTATCTCTGATTTTTCAAAATTAATTGTAAGGCCCGAAGTTTTTCCAAAATTTTTAACTATTTTAACTATTGATTGTAATGACTCCTCCACCTCCCCTAAAATTATCATAACATCATCAGCATACAGATTAATCTTGATGTCTTCCTTGCCCTCCTTATATCCTTTAATGATCGGATTGTTCCTAACTGAATTTGCTAGTGGTTCAATGGCCAATGAAAATAGGGCTGGAGAAAGGGGGCATCCCTGCTTGGTTCCCCTCTTGATATCTATTTGTCTAGTGTGTGCCCCGTTTACTGAGATGGTTGATTTATTTCCCCTATATAGTTCTTTTATTACCTTACACACTTTCGCCCCCATATTACTTTCCTCACATAGTCTGTTCAAATATTTGTGATCTAATGAGTCAAATGCTTTGCAAAAGTCTAATTTTAATATAAGTAATTTGGATTTTCTTTCTGTGGCATGGTTCAAAATGTTCAATATATTCCTTATAGGGTCCGCTAATTTCCTGTTTTTTATAAATCCGTATTGATCGTCATGAATTATTTCCGGTATTATGTCCTTCATTCTGTTTGCTAAAATTTTAGTAAATATTTTGTAGTCCCCATTGCAAAGGGTTATTGGTCTATAAGAGTTGGGATCAGTTTCATCCTTATTTGGTTTTAGAATTGTATGAATTTCGTAGGATTTCCAGGAATTTGGCACTTTTTGCCTCTCCATTATTTCATTAAATAGTATAAATAGGTTCGGAGTAATTTCCTCTTTGAATATTTTATAGAAGTTTGTTGTGAAGCCATCTGGCCCAGGTGATGAGTTTGCTTTTAGGCTTTCTATCACTTTTTCAATTTCTGAGTTGGTTATTGTGCTATTTAGATTGGTTTGTAACTGTGGACTTATGAATTTTTCCAAGAGGCCATCTTGTTTGATTAATTCTTTGGCTTTGTAAAGTTTTTCATAGTAGCTAGCCATAATCTCCCTAATTTCCTTATCTGATGATCTCAGATGTCCTCTATCATCTTTTCGCTTGAGTATTCTGCTTCTAGCTTGTTTTGATTTTAGGGCTCTAGCCAGTCTTTTCGAATTATTAATTGAGTTAATTTGATAATCATTTCTAACCCATAGGTATTTTTTTGTGGTGTCTATTTTATCTAAGTCCTCCAGTTGCTGTTTTTTCTCTTTCCAGTTTGCTTTATTTTTAACTGATGGATTTTTTTGGAAACGTAGGAATGCATCCTCTACCTCTGATCTTGTTTTCTCAAATGTATACTTTTCTTTTCTATTGATTCCTATTTCCAGTGAGATACACGTTCCCCTTATGGTTGCTTTAAACGCATCCCATATAATCTCTTCTGTTATTTGTGGTTGTCTGTTAAATAAAAAGAATTCTTCAATCTGTTGTTTAATGACCTGTTTATCCTTTTCATTAAGTCATATTCGTGAAAAACAGTGTGCTACTTCTTTTAAAAACTACCTTGGTGACATTTTCCTATTTTATTTATTTTGGAAGTCTTTATTGTGCATGTCCATGACAAGTCACCCTCCATATTGCTAGTGTCTTATTTTTCTGGTATGGGTTTAGCAATGTTTCTCAAACTCTGCTCCTCCAGGTGTTTTGGATGCTCCCAGAAATCCCAGTCAGCTTTCCAGCTGTTAAGAATTGTGGGAGTCCAAAACACCTAGAGGAGCAGAGTTTAAGAAATACTGGGTTAGAGTAGATGTATCAAACTCAAGGCTCTCCAGATGCTGGACTCCCAACTCCATCATTAGACATCATCATGATGGGAGTTGAGATATAGTCACATCTGGAAGGCTGCAGTTTGTTCTCCTTAGTCAGGAGAGTGAGGTTTGGATTTAGATACAAGGCTTGTGGATAGGATGCCTGGCTTTAAAATGTCTTTTCACCTTTCCCTAACCACAGAGCCACAAGAGCTGTTGGGTTTCAATTCTCATGATCCCCAATACACCTGGTGGATAATCAAAAGTGATGGGAGTTGTTGTTCAGTAATATCTGAGGATCCGAACTGGGTAGAATTATAGTTCGCCTTCTGTCTCCACATGTTCTCCATACATGGATTCAAGTGCCCTTTGAATGCAGCCATAAGGCTGATGTGGCCCTCCACGGAAATGAGTTTGACAAGCCTGGGTTAGAGTGTATTTCACCTGGTTTCTTCCCTTTCTCTATTTGTTTGTGTGTTTCTTCTACAGACAGTCCTGGGGAGGTCCAGTCTTCTCCTTCCCCGTCACCCAGTCTCTCTGAACAAGAGAAAAGTCCCCTGGAGCCCCTGCGCCTCGCCTTGGAAAGCAGCAAGGAAAACCAGCACCCGGAGGGCCAGCCGGGCTCCTTGCTCGGCACCAGGATAGGCCCCAACAGCCAGGCTCCGCTGGGCATCCAGGAGATTGTGGCTATGTCGCCTGAACTGGACACCTATTCCATCACCAAGAAGGTCAAGGAGGTCTTAACGGACAACAACCTTGGTATGGATGCCCACCTGATGAGTGAGCTTGGTTGCTTTGAAACAATGTCCTGATGTGGAGTTTGTGGCAACACATCCTCGACAATTGTAAGGAAAGAAGTACCGACTGCTGGCTCTGCGTCTCAAATGCCAGGGCAAGGAAAGAGTTACTCCAGGGCCTGTTTTGAGGTCACTCCTGATCTGGCTTATAACAACCTGCAGCATATTACCACCAGGTTCCTGAAAGAACATTAGAAAAAGGACTGGTTTCCACAGAAGCAGAGATTATTTTAGCCTTTGAGAAATGTATTTTCTTTTTTAAAAAAGGAAATTTTCTTTGACTTTTTTAAAAAGTAAGTTTCCAGACCTTGCAAATACAAGGGCTTGAGCAATACATGGTTGTCTAAGGCCATATCATCCAGATTATCAAAGTAGTCAATCCACATTTTCTGATTTGAACTAGATTATCTGAGTCTACACTGCAGCGGAACTCTGCCCCAGAGTGTGGTGGAGTTTTCTGTAGGTTGCTTTCTCCTCCATGTGAAAAGCAACACTGGTACTATTATGCAAAAAAGTAATAATAATAATAATAATAATAATAATAATAATAATTTGAAACACATCAAGATGAGTCCACAGCAAACAAGATCACTCTGCTGGCTGTTGTATTGGATCACACATCAGACACTTCCCAAGTGTCTAGGACTGTGTGTTGTATCGGCGAATAATGTGTGCAGATCCCAGTAGGGTGGCCTTTTGCAGGTGGCAGCCGGCAATCTTGTCAGCGCCGATTGTGTTTAAGTGCAGGCCAAGGTCTTTAGGCACTGCACCCAGTGTGCCAATCACCATTGGGACCACCTTTACTGGTTTGTGCCAGAGTCTTTGCAATTTGATCTTTAAATCCTCATATCGTGTCAGCTTTTCCAGTTGTTTCTCTTCAATCCTGCTGTCGCCTGGGATTGCAACATCGATGATCCACACTCTGTTTTTTAACACGATCATGAGGTCAGGAGTATTGTGCTCCAAAACTCTGTCAGTCTGAATTCGGAAGTCCCAGAGTAGTTTGAGGTGTTCATTTTCTGTAACTTTTTCAGACTTGTGATCCCACCAGTTCTTTGTTGCAGGCAGATGGTATTTGTGGCACAAGTTCCAATTAATCATCTGAGCAATGGTGTTATGCCTCTGCTTAGTCTGTCTGCGCGATCTTCTTGCAGCAGCTGAGGATTCGATCTAGTGTTTCATCTGCTTCCTTGCAGAGTCTACATTTGGGATTTGTTGACGACATTTCAATTCTGACTCTGATGGCATTTGTCCTAATGACTTGTTCTTGGGCTGCCAGAATCAGGCCCTCCTTTGTCTCCTTTTTCAAAGTTCCATTTGTGAGCCACAGCCATGTTTTTTCTTTGTCAATTTGGCTGTCAATTTTTCCCAGGAACTGTCCATGGAGAGCCTTCTTTTGCCATTATTATGTATGTATTTATTGTGCCAGGAGCGAATTGAGAATACAGTTATAATGTATAGAGAAACCACAAACAAAGTTAAAAACTTGGCATTATACTAAATGTCTTTTGACCAGAAGCTGTCCACTTGGATTGCCTATGGTGTCGCTGTAAGAAGGTCCTCCATTGTGCATGTGGCAGGGCTCGGGCTGCATTGTAGTAAGTGGTCTGTGGTTTGCTTTTCTACACACTCGCATGTTGTGGACTCCACTTTGTAGCCCCATTCCCTAAGATTGGCTCTGCATCTTGTGGTGCCAGAGTGTAGTCTGTTCAGCGCCTTCCAAGTCGCCTAGTCTTCTGTGTGCCCAGGAGGAAGTTTCTCATCCGGTCTCAGCTACTGATTAAGGTCCCAAGCTTTAGCTTTTGGACTCTCACTTGCTGAGGTGTTCCTGCAAGTATCTCTGTGGATCTTAGGAAGCTATTTCTTGATTTAAGGTGTTGGCATGCTGGCTGATATCTGAACAGAGGATGGATCAGAGATATCACAGCCTTGCTCCTTTCATTACAGGCTTCTACTTTCCAACAGATGTCAGGTAGTGCAATACTGGCTAAACAGTGTAATTTCTCCAGCGGTGTAGGGCGTAGACATCCTGTGATAATGCGGCATGTCTCATTAAGAGCCACATCCACTGTTTTAATGTAGTGAGACATATTCCACACTGGGCATGTGTATTCAGCAGCAGAGTAGCAAAGCACAAGGGCCAATGTCTTCATTGTGTGAGGTTGTGGTTCCCAGGTTGTTCCAGTCAGCTTTCGTATGATGTTATTTCTAGCACCTGCTTTTTGTTTGATAGTTAAGCAGTTCGTCTTATAAGTCAGAACTCAGTCCAGAGTGACTCCCAGGTATTTTAATGTGCTGAAATGGTCCAGTGGGATTCCTTTCCAGAGCTCAAGATGCTTGTCTGTTCTTAAGATGAAAAGCACATGTCTGCGTTTTAGATAAATTAGGAATCAGCTGGTTTTCCCTATAGGCAGTAAGATCACCTAGAGCTTTAGGGGGCTTCTGTTCAGCCATTTCAATGCTCCCTGCTTGAGTGGTGATGGCACAATCACATGATCATTTGTGAAAATGTTGATGGAGCAAGCATACTCCCCTGAGGCAGGCCGTTCTTCTGTTTTAGGTGTTTTGTCCTATGATTCTCAGAAATCCTAGCCAATGTACGAGCTGTTAGGATTTCTGGAAGTTGAAGGCCAAAACATCTGGGGACCCACAGGTTGAGAACCACTGTGCTAGAAGAAGAATGAAAATAATAATAATAATAACAACAACAACAACAATAACAATAATACCCATCTCTCCTTACGGCTTGAAGTGGGGTACAACACGGTTAAAACATTCACAGCTGCTGAATTTACATCGATCACAAAATCTTCCTTTTCCTTAGCATAGTGTTTCCTTAGCATAGTGTTTTCATAGGTTTTTAGCATAAGGACTACTCAGAACAAGGAGGATGCATCTACATGTTGGGGTACATGTAATATCCTCTGAAATATCTGTTGTTGCCTCTGTCTGAACAGGTGCGTCAGAACCGTCCCTCAAAGATGTTATTGATGCCTCTTATCTCTTTGCTCAAAACACACTACAGCTTCGGCTTTTGGTTGATCTCTCCCATCAGGTCAGCGGCTTTTTGGAGAAAGTATCCTGGGCCTGACCCAGGGCTCTGTCTCTGACCTGCTGTCAAGGCCCAAGCCCTGGCACAAGCTGAGCCTGAAAGGGCGGGAGCCCTTTGTCCGAATGCAGCTCTGGCTGAATGATCCGCACAACATCAACAAGCTGCGGGACATGAAGAAACTGGAGAAAAAAGGTGAGGTAGAGGATCTGCATTCATTCACAGGTCTGCGCTTCCTAAAGCAGGACCCAAGAGTTGGCCTGCATTAGGAAATGGGTTCTCTTTATTGTGCATGACAATGGATTCCTTCACACCAGACCTGGGCACTCTTGTTTCCGTCTCTTCTTCCTCCAGCGTATTTGAAGCGCCGCTATGGACTGATCAGCGCTGGCTCTGACAGTGAGTCCCCCAACGCTAACTCCACCTGCCCCAGCCCCAGCCCCCAGACCCAAGATCTCAGCCTCCTGCAGATTAAGAAGCCAAGGGTCGTCCTGGCTCCCGAAGAGAAGGAGGCCCTGAAAAAGGCTTATCAGTTGGAACCCTACCCTTCACAACAAACCATTGAGTTGCTGTCTTTCCAGCTGAACCTTAAGACCAACACGGTGATCAACTGGTTCCATAATTACAGGTAATGGATGGGTCAGAGTTGCGGCTGGCCCCTCCCCACTTCCTTTCCATTTTCAGGTTTTCACCAGGATTTTGTTTTGTTAGCATTGTTTATGTTTGTCTGTTTAATTCTGTCTTTTCTCCGAACACTTGGACTGAAGGCAGAACTTGACCAAAAGGTCTTAAAAAACCAGGGAGACTTGTATGGGAAGATAAAGGTTCCTTGGGAAACTTGAACCTAGGTTATTTGTAGATCATAACCAGCACTCTGAATTTTATCTAGAAATAGAACGACACCCTGTGAAGTTGACATAACAAATGACTTGGGTTCTCCTAATTTAGGCCCCATCTACACTGCCATTATAATGCAGATCGAACTGGATTATGTGGCAGTGTACATTCATATAATCCATCTACACTGCCATATGATCCCTTTTATGATGCCAGATTATCTGCTTTGGATTATATGGCAGCGTAGACTCATATAATCCAGTTCAAATCAGATAATTTGGGATCGGAAGCTGGATTATATGGCAGTGTAGATCCAGCCTGAGAGAGATTGATCTATGCCTGTATAAGAAGTTCAGTAGCAGAGGTTGAAACAAATATCTTTAGTGTTCTGTCCTCTAGATCATTGCTCCTTAAACTGTGGATCCTGACCCCAAGTGAGGTCCTCTTAGCTCAATGTTGGTGTTGTGAAAAAATTGGCAGCAGGAAAAGTTTTCTGAATGCCACCCATTTACACAAAAATCAGTTAGGAACATAATGCTGGGTTTACAGTAGACATTTGGATTCAGGGGAAACCTTGTCCTGTTTCGTGTCCTGGCTTTCGTTGGGGGACCCAATCCATTTTTTGTACACCTCCAGAAATTGAGAGGGTTGTTTTTGGTTCTTTAGTTTCAGGGCCCAAAAATTGGACCATTATGGGTGGGGGGGCTTCCCACCCACTGGTTCCCCTTCCTGGGGTGAGTTCTTCTTATCTGGCACCTGCTGTTTCTACTCTAGAGTAAGAGATGCTCGGCTGTAAGCACTGGCAGGTGCGTGTCTTCCAGGCCTGCCTGCATGTCCTGCAACACATGCACTCTCCTTAGAAAGAGAGTGCATGTGTTGCTGGGCGTGCAGACAGGCCTAGAAAGCGTACACACCTGCCAGTGCCTACAGCTGAGTGCCTCTTACTCTAGAGTAAGGGGCGCTCAACTGCAGGCGCACACTGGGCCTGCCTGCACTTCCTGCCCCACATGCCCCATCATACTCTCAGAGTGTGTGTGTGTGGTGGGGCATGCAGGCAGGCCCAGGGAGTGCCTGCAGCCATTATCTGGGACTGCCTGCCTGCATGCACACACTCTTTCCAAGGCAAAGAGGCAAGTTCAGATGCACACGAAAGCAAGCTTTTGTGTTGAGCAGATTTTCGTGTGGGAAGGGGGCTTCCTGTTTCATACTTCCGAATAAATGGAAGACACAAAAGAAATGGTAGAAATGGTAGGAACAAATTTTGCGCACATATCTAGTTTACAGAGGAATCGGCAGAATATGCTTCAGCTATGCTCCAGGAAACTCAGACTGTTGAGCAAGCCTTGCAAAAGCTGATTTATTATCAGTAAATGTTTGATTTTATACTTATTTTATACACCTATATACCTGGGGTCATGTAAACATTTCTCAGGCGGTAAGGAATTGTGAGTGGAAAAAGCTAAGGAAGCCCTGCTCTTGATCACACTGAGTGACTTTCTTGCCAATGTTTTGGAATCTGTTTGAGTTAGCTGCACTTGCTCACTTTTTCTTTGCCAGGTCCCGAATGCGCCGGGAGATGCTGCTGGAAGGGGCGCAGGACGACACGGATCTGGAGCAGAGCGCAACCCCAGGAGGCAGCCTTCTGAAGGGTCCCGAGCCCCCATGTCCTGCCTCCGAATGCGAGTCCCGGAAACCCACTTTCAGAGATGCGGAGTGCCAAGGAGAGAGCAAGTCGGTGGTCCAAATCAAGGAGGAGCAGCCAGAGGTGGGTGAAAAGGATAACTGTTCAAGTCCCCATGAGCCTTGTGGCTCCGATGGGGAAATGGAGCCTGGGCCCAGTCTTAAAGAAGAGCAGGTGGAGGCGGCATGGACAGAAGATCTGGAGGGGCCTAGTCTCATCTGGGGCAAAACACACATATCCAGGCCTGCCGGTTATTCCTCTGTGCATAACCCTATGGAGTCCGGTGCTGGCAAGCAGCTTGACTCAGACCCGCTGAGCTTTAAGTCATCTTCAGAGTCTTCCCGGGGCAGCTTAGAGGGGTCCCTGAACTCCTTGTCTGCGGCCTCTTCCCCTGGCCTCCTGATGTCCATCTCTCCCATCCCCTCCGCCTCAGCTCCTCTCTCCCCGTTGTCCCTAAGCGCCACTGCCAAAGCACAGAGTGAGAGCCTTCCCACCGGAACAGGCGCCGCACCCCCCAACACCAAAGCAAGTACAAACATCCAGCGACGGCATGAGAAGATGGCCAACCTCAACAGCATCATCCATCGGCTGGAGAGGGCAGCCAACCGCGAGGAGACCCTAGAGTGGGAATTTTGAGAGGTAAAAAAGATTTTAAGAAACCACACAAACACACAAGCACTCACATTTTGACCCTAAACTCAGCGGAACAGGCTGACGAAGCAGGGAGTCCAGTGTATATTGAAATAGATCTCTATAAATATATATATATACACACACACACATATATATTTTATTAGTTTCTTCACATACTAAGGAGGAGACAAATCATCTCCATTTTTGTTGAAGGAAAGTGATCCGTCGCTACCCTGTTGCTCCTTTTTTCTTAGTGGCTGATGGGAAGATGAAATGGACTTCATTTTTTGGTTTAAATGTGAAAACAAACGTTTTAAAAAAACTGGGAACACTTTTAGAAGAAAAAAATATTAAAATAATATTTATAGACCTCTTTTAGATATTTTAATAAAAGGAAACTTTGGAATTTATTAACAGCTCAAGCTGCTTTGATATTAAAAGATAGCTATAAACTGTATCAGTTGTGTCATTAAATGTCCACTGAAAGTCTTGTAGTTTGCCACTGGATGAGATTAAAAAAAATTAAAATTCAAAGATATAACCCAGGCTCCTTGATCAAAGCCATTGAGAAGCACTATGAGACTGACCAAATTTTTGCTAAACTTGATCGCCCGAGGGGTGCCTTGCTCTCTCCTCGGTTTGTCTCTAAGACATCGCATTCATAAAACTTTTCCAGAGACTTGTCTTACAGTCCATGAAGACTCTAAATCGGGAAGCTGCGATGCCATCCTGCGTCCGTCATTTAGTTCTGGTGGTATGTTTTGAGAGCTTTGTTTTGAATATAACACAGGGAAAACAAAGTGTTGTGTGCTGTTGTATATGTTGTAGAAATATGTTTGCAATAGCCTTCCTAAACAAGATGTAGCATGGTTTCAGAAGTGACTCCTTAGTCCTGATGCTTCCTGCAGCTTAGTGGCCTGCCAGAAACAGAGGACACATCGAGAACGTCGACACAGAAGGAACTGACAGCCGTTGGAAGTGAGGATTTTCTGCCCACTTTTAGGAAAAAAAACATACACACCCTCTCAGAAGTGTGGCGTCTTTTTGTTGCAAAAGTTGTATTTGGCAGCTTGCAAAGTCTGTGATGTGTTTGCTTTTGACAGGGACAGACTTTAATGATAAACTATGAGAAACCTACAAAAGTTTACGTTGTCTGTGCGTGTGTCTGTACACGTGTGCACATGGAAATTGCCGTCTTTTTCTCAGTTCAGCATCTTCTTTGTTGGATGGGAAAAAACCATTGGAAGTATTGGCCAATTTGAGCACTAAAATGTTGAGAGGGAAAATGTCTCATGCATTATTCCTCCCCATCCCACCCCCTTAAATCATCAATTCAATCTGGAACCCCACTTGTACATGGATTTACCCATGAAGCTCTTGCATGTATGGGCAGCCTTGATTTATTTCATGGGAGGGCAGAATTCCTACTGTGCAAAGAAGCAAGACTGATGGATCTGGGACCACATTCAGTCTACCATTTATGTTAAGGTGCTGTCAGATTGGGGCAAAAACTTTTTTTTTAAAAAAAAAAGAACAACCATAATAATAATAATAATAATAATAATAATATTTATTTATATTCCACTCTATCTCCCCGAGGGTACTCAGAGCAGATTACAGAACACATATATGGCAAATATGCAATGCTGTTATACAATTAACAAAGACAGACAGTAGACAAACAGAGGTAAAGGCTTCCCATCTTTTTCCATCTCCGGCATCTGGGGGCTGTGTTCAACTCTGGCTATGGGGAGGTGCTGTTGTTCCATTTTCCATGCTGAGGAGCTTCTTGTCCATGGGTGCCTTCTTGATCAAACTGCCAGCATGTCTTCATGGGTGCCTTCTTACCTCCCTGCCAAAGTGGTACCTATTGAACTACTCACATTACTGTTTTCTAACTGCTAAGTAAGCAGAAACTAGGGCTGACAGCAGAAGTTTGCCCTGATCTCCAGCTTGAACTGCCAACCTTCTGGTTGGCAAGATTTTCTGCAGCTGGCGGTTTAACCCGCTGTGCTCACCGCAGCCCCCTTAGCAATCACCAAGGTTGTTCATGGCTCCCATCACCACTCTTTGACAAGGAATTGAGTTTCCTGAAAATGATCACTTTCATTACAGTCATCCTTCCTTGGATTATCCTTAATTTGGAAAGAAGCATGGAATCTATTCCGTGGGTGGTTTGGTCTGCTGAAGGACCATCGACCAGATTCAAAGATAGTCAAGAGTAGTTCAAGCCACATTTTTGAGAGGGGATTTTATTAGCTAGAAAGGCACTTGGTGGATGCAGGTGATTTATTACAGAGCTTGCAGTCCACAGTAAACCACCCCAGAGGCCCAGAAGGTCCCCAGCTATACCTGCATTCTTTGCCAGGCAGCACGTCTCAGACAGTTAAACATTTACCCAATTGCTCTGGAAACTGTTAGAATCTAGAAGTCAAGCACCCAGAGTAAAATCCCTACTGTGGCTAAAAAAACAGCAGCTAAAATCTTATAATCAGATCCTGGAGGAGGGTCCAGTGCTGTTCTTTCAATATGATACATTCCAGTACTTTCTTTGTTTGAATTTTGGTTGACCTACTGAGGAATTTTCTAGAACTCTTCACCCATCTCTTTTGCCCATTCCTCACGCCAGAGCTTGAAATAATTTAAAAACCAAAAGTCACTTTAACAAGTAGTAACAGAACAGAAGGTATATTGGCAGATCCCCCTCCCCATAACATAATAATAATATACTTTACTTATATTCTGCTCTATCTCCCCAAGGAGACTCAGGGCCGATTACAGAACACATATATGGCAAACATTCAATGCCGTTATACCATTAACAAGAATAGACAATACATAGACAGAGGTAAAGACTTTTCCCATCTTTTTCCATTTCCGGCATCTGGAGGCTGTGCTCAACTCTGGCCACAGGGGGCAGGGTGCTGTCGCTCCATCTTTCACATGCCAAGGAGCTTTTGTTGTCCTTAGACGTCCTCCCGATGTCCTTATGGTGCCTTTATTACCTCCCCGCTTAAAGCGGTATCTATTTATCTACTCACATTTCTGTTTTCAATCTGCTAGGTGAACAGAAGCTGGGGCTGATGGTTGGGTGTTCATCCTGACCCGGGCTTGAACTGACAACCTTTCGATCAGCAGGATTTCCTGCAGCTTAGCAGTTTAACCCACTGTGCTAAGTCCGGCTTCTATCATGCCTTCCAATGTGTCTTGGTTTTTTAAGAACAGCTCCCATTACTCCCCTGCTGCCCCACTTTCTCAGCTGCTTATCAGATGCCCCGGTTTCTCTGTCTTCCATTATTCCTACTGCTTTCCTTGTCCTAAGTTTATTTCAGGTGCTACAAATGGACTTAACAGTGCAGTAGTTTGTACTCAAGTTAACTCAGCAGAAGGCAAAGGAAAGGGCAGAATCAGTACGTAGGTGCTAGGTTTTCTCTGCTTAAAATCGTATTGTGTCTGCTTCTTTAATTACTTTCCCCCTCCATTTATTCATTTTTAACCATGTTTGCCTCTTGTTGCCTGTCTGCATCCTCTATACATTCCATTTCCATCTGTGAAATGTCAGAGCTGATGCAGTAGTACCTCATCCAGTCTCTTTGGTTTCCTAAAAGGCCAGAAAATATCACTCGCCCAGTTGCCATTTGAGTAAATGCGGATTTTGTCCACCACTTTTGTAGCTTGTGCACACTTGAAAGAAACAGAAAGCGAAGTTGGATTTCCCGATTTTTCCTGTTGACATGCTAGAGATGAGCTTTAGTGGAGCAGGATTTTGGAACTAAGCACTTAGGTATGATCTTTTGAATCCAGAGAGAAATCCTGTTGTACTCAAAGCGGATGGGAATGTGTGTCAGTCACCTTTTCTTAGGTTAATGTACTGTACTTTAAAAAGTTTCTATGAGATTGATTGAACTTTGTTAAACATTTAAGAAAAAAGGGCCACAAGTTGTGTAAAAGAGCCACTAAAAAGGAAAATACAGACATTGTATAACAACTTGGCTTGATGTCTCAGTTTCTTGAGTTCTGCTTGTTGACTTCAGGACGGGTATCTGCTTACATCTGCTTATCTCATACTTTATGTAATTGATACGCTGCTCTAATGTGACATTATATAAAGAGTAATTTTGCCTTGGAGAAACTGGAACAGTTCAGGGGGAAAAAACCCTTCATTATAAAACATTTCTGTCTGGTTTTAGAAAGGAAGTAGGATCAGTCTGATTTGCAACTAGAGGGAAGGCAACCAGATGATACCAGAAATTTTCAGGCAAAGCCAGAAGGCCCAGGTGCAAAATGTATTGCCCACTGTTAGGATGCATCAACTTCATCCAATAAAATCGGATGTCATTCCAGATTGTTTTAGGATTGTGCAATTGTATAGAATCACTATCTGTTTCTTTTCGTTTCATTCGTAAGCCCCCTGTTTTTGCACATCTCCCAAAAATGGGTGGCTTCCAAACGGACGTTTTTCACTGTCCAAAAACACAAAAAATTTCAACCCATTGGCCACTATGGGTGGGCTTCCCCAGGCTCCCCTTCCCCTCAGTTTTAGGGCTAGAGGGGTGAAAATTACCACACATGGAGGGCACATCTACCACTTTTTAGCCCACCAAGTTTTATAACGTTTGGGTCACCCCCCCCCCCCCCCCCCCCATTTTTAGGCTTTTTTTTTCTTTCTAGAAATAACATCTCCTTAGAAGCAGCAGCAGCAGGTAGGCAGGGCAGGGCACCATTCCTTTGTGCCAAATGTCAAAGGTGCTGCACACACCACACACACAGCACAGCCCAGTGCCCAGCCCCACTATTTCACATCTTCTTTAACTGGCAGCAATGGGGGGGGGGGGAGATTCCGCTCCCCTCCCCATCATTTTAGGCAATGGCATGGTTTGTTCTTATACCCTTCATTACAACCTGGATTAAAAGCATCAGAGTTACTTAAGATACCATTCCTCCTGTGATGCTTTCCCCTTGGTCTGCAGAGGAGACCTGGATATAAAGAAAAGCCGTAAGATACCTCTACTTCTGTGATGCTTTCCCTTCAGTCTGCAGAGGAGACCTGGTTTTCAAGACAGGGTTTAAGATACCACTCCTCCTGTGATGCTCTCCCCTCAAACTGCAGAGCAGACCTGGGTTTAAAGAAATGCTGTAAGATACTTCTCGTCCTGTGATGCTTTCACCTCAGTTTCCAGAGGAGACCTGGTTTTCAAGACAGGGCTTAAGATACCAGTCCTCCTGTGATGCTTTCCACTTGGTCTGCAGAGGAGAGCTGAGTATAAAGAAAGGCCGTAAGATACTACTCCTCCTGTGATACTCTCTGTCCTTGGTCTGCAGAGGAGACCTGAGTATAAAGAAAGGCCGTAAGATACTACTCCTCCCGTGATGCTTTGCCCTGTCTGCAGAGGAGACCTGGTTTTAAAGACAGGGCTTAAGATACCACTCCTCCTATGAAGCTCTCTCCTCGGTCTGCAGAAGAGACCCGAGTATAAAGAAAGGCCGTAAGATACTACTCCTCCTGTGATGCTTTCACTTCTGTTTCCAGAGGATACCTAGTTTTCAAGACAGGGTTTAAGATACCATTCCTCCTGTGATGCTTTCCACTCGGTCTGCAGAGGAGCTGAGCGGTGGCAGGAGAGGCGAGGCATGCAGCAGGTGAGGCTCTTCTCCTCCGATTGGCGCAACAGGCAGGGCTCTGAGGGAAAGGGCATGAGAGAGTTTTCTGTGGGCTGTGACAGGAAAAGCAGGTGTGTGGAGCTGGTACCCGCTCTCCCACTTACTTTTGTGTTGAACTTATTTTATGACGAGGGGAACGTCCTGTTTCGTGCTACGAAAGGAACGAAAGAACGAATGTCCAAATGAAATCGGGTTTCGTGTGCAACTCTAGAATGTTTATTTACTTGTTACATTTCTATACACCACATTGTGCATGGAACCCAGGCACGGTTTGCATGTTGATCCTCACAAATGCCCTGTGAGGTAGGCTGGGTCAGGAGCTGGAAGGCATTCTACAACAGAGTGACAGCGATAAACACTGAAGGATGGTGCAAACAACCTTGGGAAGACTACAACTCCTGGAGTCTCACCAAATCATGCCCAGGTCACTTGTGTCTTTTGGTGGCAGGAAAGAAGGAAGTAATTCTGGATCAGTCCAAACACAGCCTGCAGTTTTTCTCTGGAATTGAAAATGTTCCTGAAAGAGCAACATACACACTCGCCCAGCTTGCTATGCACATGCTGGCAAAAGTAAATCCAACCACATGTTTCACTTTATGTGAACAATTGGGAGAGAACATTGATATGTTGTGTTTCAGTGTTTGAATGGACCTTTGTAACTCTGCCACACAAGAAGAAATGAACCATCCATGGCTGCTTAATTAGAAATCATTCAGAATGTTGGAGCTTGGGTTAGAAATATAAGCCTGGAAATCTAAATATTGCTAGTAAAAAGGAGAGGCCAACTGTTCTGACTCAGCTGTTTATCTACACAAACTATATAAACGGCATTCAACTTGTTGTCAAAAAGCCAGAGAACCAAAAAAGAGGCCGGGATATCTAAAAAGTACCTGAACTCACCAGCACAACGCTTTCAAGTGAAATTACCCAACTGGTGTACTATGAATGTTTTTCTCACAATTTTCAAAGCTCCCTTTGAAAGACCTTTTAAGGGGCCTTCCACAAAGCCATATAACCCAGAATATCAAGGCAGAAAATCCCACAATATCTGCTTTGAACTAGTTTGTCTGAGTCCACACTGACATATATTCCAGTTCAAAACAGAAAATGTGGGATTTTATTCAACTGTGTGGAAGGGGCCTAAGACAGTTTTAGAGGCATTTCAACAGGAACATTTTAAATTCTGGACCACTCTAAAATCAATCCTTTCTTTAAAAACAGCACAATGCAATAAATAACCAGATAAGCCATTTTCTTCCAACATTCAAAGGGATATTGTAGTACTTTTGAGACTAACTGGGAAGAAGCAGAGGGTAGATAAAACTTTTCATTTACAAACGTCTTATTCCCAGTTAGTTTCAAAGCTTTCCAAGTTCACTGCCATCTTCATCCAGCAAAGATGGTGCAGAACTCATGAAAGGGCACCCCGGACTGCTTGTTAGCAATGCTACAGAGAAGATAAGTTGCTGCGAGTTTTCCGGGCTGTCCGGCCATGATCCAGAAGCATTCTCTCCTGACGTTTCACCCACATCTCTGGTAGGCATCCTCAGAGGTTGTGAGGTCTGCTGGAAACTAGGCAAGTGGGGTTTATATAAAGGTAAAGGTTTCCCCTTGACATTAAGTCTAGTCAAGTCCGACTCTGAGGGTGGTGCTCATATCCATTTCTAGGCTGAAGAGCCGACGTTGTCCGTTGACGCCTCCTAGGTAATGTAACCGGCATGACTGCATGGAACACCATTACTTTCCCGCCAAAGCGGTACCTATTGTTCTACTCACATTTGCATGTTTTTGAACTGCTAGGTTGGCAGTAGTTGGGGCAAACAATGAGCACTCACCCCATCCCATGGATTCGAACTGCCAACCTTCCAGTCAGCAAGTTCTGCAGCTTAGCGATTTAACCCAGTGTGTAACTGCGGCCTTTGTATACATTCCACAGATATATAAATCTCACTTGCTTAGTTTCCAACAGACCTCACAACCTCTGAGGATGCCCGCCATAAATGTGGGCAAAATGTCAGGAGAGAATGCTTCTGGAACATGGCCAGACATGCTGGAAAACTCAGTAACCCAGTGATTCTGGCCATGAAAGCCTTTGACAATGCATTCTACAGTTTTCACCAGGAAGAATGTGCAGATTTCACCTCCACCCTCTTGAAAAAGAGGGCCAAGTGGTGACAGGAATAAAGACAATAAAAGAAGGCAATAAAAGTTCAGTTCTCCATTGTGGCCACAAGTCATCCAATGTTTTTCTTTGCAATCTGGGCCTTCCCATGCTATCGTTCCTCCTCTGTGGTTTTCTCTCCCCACAGCCATGCCCAACTTGGACAAGTCCTCCCCTGCTTTCCTTGCACAGGAAAGGATTGATCTGCTGTGCTTCCTTCCCCTTGCCCAGAAAAAGTCTCCCTTCCATGGCTGCTTCCCAGCTGGGTTTTGCCTTTTGTGCTGTTGGAGGTCTGAGTGAGCAGAAATCAGAAACCAAGACACTTCTGGTGTGTATTGGTTCTCGGAAGAAGACAAAAGTTGATGGCCAATCAATCTTCTTCTCTTCTATTTTATCCCCAGAACACCCCTGCGAGGTAGATCAGAAAGACAGAGCGAGACAGAGAGTTACTCAATGATGATTAATTCAGATTTGAGCCTTGGCTTCTGCAGCTCCCAGTGATGACAAACAGAACAGCACCAAGCATTTTGCAAGGAGGTAGGCTGAAAGCAGAGCTCGCTAGCCTGCTGTTGTGTCCTTGAGGCAGATCCCTTTTTCTCACTTAGTTCCCCTCCTGTAAAGTGGGAACAGTCGCTATGGCTCTACCTCCCAGGCTTCTTGAAAGAGCACGGGGAAGGTTCTTGACATATCATAGGGTACATAGGAAGATGAGGTTCTAGAGAAAGGAAGGAAATTGCAGTCGCGGTTTTTGCAAAGTGAGAGTTTTCAGCAGCCACAAAAAAAATGGCTCTACAGTGGGCATGGGCAAACCTTGACCCTCCAAGTGGCTGAGGGGGAAAATAAAAGGGCCTGAGGCTAGGAGTTGTGGGAGTTGAAGTCCAAAACACCTGGAGGGTCAAGGTTTGCCTATGTCTGCTCTACAACATGTCTGCTCCTGGTGTATCTCAACCATGGTTGAACTGCCTCCTTGAATGCTATAGCACCTCACCAACACTGACCCCGACTCAGGATTTGGCTTTGGTTTTTCAGTTCATGCTTTGCTTGTGATTGTCCTGAAAGGCAGGTCCTCTTTCTTTCTAACTAGCTGAAGGCCCCTCATTATAATGTAAATGGTGGCATTTTCCAGGAGATATTTCTGATTGAGGAAGTCTCCCAGCGAACACTAACTAAGAGGCACTGGCTCGATTCTTTAAGCTGACAGACAGGAAGGGATGAGCTGGTACCTGTGGCAGCTTTTCTCAAGAACTGAACAATATGCATTGTCATTAGAAGGTAGGTAGGTAGGAAGCCAGGGTTTCCAACTGCTGAGGCTTAGTCACAGAGGCTGGAGACCGCCTGGCTTAGGCTAGGGGCCCACTTAGAGACTGGTGCCCTTTTGCCCCTCCAGCCAGACCCGCCGCAGTTCCAGGATCTCCTTGCCATACCAGTTATGGAGTTTGGAGAAACAGGCCACACTTGGACACACTGGGCCATCCAAGCCGGGGCCGTTGGTGCCCCCTGAATGGCCTGAGAGGGCCCGTCTCCGAGGTGGCAAAGGAGGTGGCTTGAGCCCCCCATCATGGCTGCCCTCCCCGCAAGTCCTTGTACCCCAAGGTTCAGTGGAGGTATATCTTGCCGGCAGGCTGGCCAAGCCTTCAGAATTATTCCAGAGTGCGCAGCCATTTTCTTTGGCCGGCACACAAAGTGGGATCGTAGGCTTCTCCTGCACTGCCAGTTCCAAGTTGGGCGCTGTCTGGTTCTTTCGGCAAAGAGGTCCCCGCCTCTGGACCCGGTGCCCGGTGGAGAGATCCCTGCGCATCTCCTCGAGCTGCTTCTCCAGCTCCCTCACCACCAGGCGCAGATAGCCAAAGCTGGCCCTTGAGAGGGCCTTGACCCAGTCCTCCATGGCAGCTTGGCTCTCGGCAGCCAAGACATAGGTGCGGGACTTGGCGCCCTCAAAGCGGATGGCAAAAGCAAACTCCTCACTGGCCTCGCACAGCTCCACCGTGCAGCCTTCCAGGATGATGACCCCCATGGGCTCCCGGCTCTCCCGCTCCTCAAAATAGAAGAGCATGTTCCCCTTCAGCACAAACCAGCGGCGGTGGTAGGCTGTGTTGCGCTCCCCTTTCTTGTAGAGGACGCCGGCGTGGTCCGTGGGCGAGTCACAGGTGGCATAGAAGGTCAAGCTCCTCTCGTTCAGCTTCATGTTGGCCTGTGCCTCAACATTTAAAACAGAGAGAAGGAAAAAAGAGCAAGGCATCATAAGTTCTCAAAGCCATCCTGAACTAACCGAAATCTGGTCTTCTGCACCAGATGGGAGGTGTTGAATTTCCTCAGTAAATCTCAGAAAAATTATCCCCTGGCTTTGCTTCCATAGCACCCGCCTCCCAGAACTCTTCATAAGGCTTGCCAGTGTCAAGGGAAAACAGATCTATCTCTCCCAGCCCTCCACCAACTTTGGCACCTCCGCAGCATCAGTCTGAAGGTAAGCTTCCCACTCCTACAGACATCTGGGAGCACAAGTCCCATTGTCCGGAGCCTTCAGTCCCCAAGGCTGACTTGAATCCATTTTAGATAGAAGAGATTCTGCTGTGCCTACACTACAGAATTAATGTAGTTTGGCATTGGTTTAACAGACATGGCTCAATACCACAGAGTCTTCAAAGTTGCAGTTTTCAAGACTTTTAATTTTCTCTACCCAAGAGTGCCGGTGCCTGGCCAGACTACAACTCCAAGGATTCTGTGGCATTAAGCCATGACAGGTAAGGTAGGATCAATCTACATTCATTTTATAGTAGGGATGCCACCCTTTCGCTGTAATATAAGAACAGAGAAGAATGAGGAAGAAAAAAAGAAAGAAAGTAATGCCTCCATTGGGCATCTGCATAGTATAACTTGATGTTATACAGCACCTTCAGTCTTTTCAATATGTGGTTTTTTACTTTGTTAGACTAGCCAGGGTTTTGTCTTCTTTCCTTGTTGTGTCCAGAATGAAAGAAGAGAAGAATGCCAGCCTCTGAAAGAACTGTCTGCCATTGCTTGTGTTTGGATTTCCAAAAGTTGGCAGCAAAGTTTTTTGGCTATGGGGTCCTCGCTGTTTTGAACCACTCCAGCATGAGAGGACGAGAAAGTCTTGCCAGGGAAAATCTAGGCCATTGGGAAGAGGGGGCCTTAGAGCCGGGCGACTGGCACCAATCCACAGTAGAATTCACAGATCACTGGAGCCGGAAACTTTGGTCCCATCTGTGTTGGGCAACAGCTCCTATCAGTGCCTCTACACTGTAGAATGAATGCATTGGCGTCACTTTAACTGCTAGGACTTAATGCTATGCAATCCTAGGATTTGGAGTTTCACAAGGGCTTGAGTCTTCTCTGGGTAAGAGTACTAGTGCCTCACCAAATTGCAGCTCCCAGAATGGCATCACCTTGAGTCATGGCAGTTCAATTGGTGCCAAACTACATTCATTCTACAATACAGATGCAGCCCCAGTGAGGCAGCAGCAGCATGATGGGAACTGCCATGGCCTCCCAAATTCTTTTTTTCTTTTCATCCAAAATACCCAGTGGCTTTAATCTTCATTGTTGCAATATATACAAATGTACAATCAGGATACGCAGATCCACTTTTAGGCTTGTCCTTACAAATGATCAGATCCTCAGCTAGTCACATACAGAATACACAGATATTCACAATGAGTCATGCAGGAGAGAGAAAGATGGAACCTTTCATCCTCCTTATATAGCCAGGTGCTGACACATCATCAGTGAGGGATACTGGCCTCCCAAATTCTTCCAGGCCTTGACATGTAGGACACATTTGGCCCACAAAGCAACCACTCACGCTCATGGGGCAGTGACCGCTTCATGACACAGGAGAGGAAAATTTATCTAGCCAGTGACTCCTGTTCACCGGGTCATCAAAAGGGAAACAAGGAAAAAATCAGCCCGTTCACTTCCTCTGTACTAACCTCAGCAAACTGTTTTCTTAAAGGAAGGAATAAAACATAAACAAGAATTGCTTTGGTCACTTTAAGGGGTAAAGTGATCACCCAGGCCATTTGAGACAGAAGAATCCTGCCCTCTTCATTCTCAATCAGGGACCTCTTGCTCAAGGCTCTGTTCAAGCTCCCATTGTTTTCGGGAGGCCGACTTTGTTTACCAATCCTTGGAAGCAAAGACGAGCACCTGGCTGCCTGGGCTCAGGCAGACAGATCCCTTGAGCTAGCTCAAGCTGTGTGCCCTCTGGACTGTTTCAAAATACTAAGGCTGGATCTACACTGCCCTATATCCCAGTATCTGATCCCAGATTATCCGGTACTGAAGACTTATATAATCCAGTTTAAAGCAGGTAATCTGGGATCAGATCCTGGGATACAGGGCAGCATAGATCCAGCCTTAGGGTGCCTCAACACTGTTTATTTATTTATTTATTTATTCATTTACTATATTTATACCCCGCTCTTCTCACCCCAAAGGGGGGTTGGAGCAGCTTACAGATTATGGCAAAATTCAATGCTGCATTATGCATACAAATAAACATATAACATCTGTAATGATAAAAACAATTATAACATATAAATACAATTAAACAGATCTAAAACATAGTGCCTAGTTTCATAGTCAATATTCAAGCTGCTACACTTAAGTCAAATTCCATATTCCACTACTCCCTGAACGCATGTGTACAAAGCAGGAGGGATGGGGCCAATCTGATGTCACTGGGAAGGGAGTTCCACAGCTGAGGGGCCACCACCGGGAAGGTCTTGTCTCTTGCCCCCACCAGTCGCACTTACAAAGGGGGTGGGACCGAGGGCAGAGACTCCCCAGCAAGAGACGAGATTCCATCTGAACATTAGGAAGAACTTCCTGACTGTGAGAGCCGTTCAGCAGTGGAACTCTCTGCCCCGGAGTGTGGTGGAGGCTCCTTCTTTGGAAGCTTTTAAGCAGAGGCTGGATGGCCATTTGTCAGGGGTGATTTGAATGCAATTCCTGCTTCTTGGCAGGGGGTTGGACTGGATGGCCCATGAGGTCTCTTCCAACTCTTTGATTCTATGATTCTATGATTCTGTCTTAACATTCTAACTGGCTCATAGAGGGAGATACATTTGGACAGGTATGTTGGGCCAGAACCTTAGGGCTTTATAGACTTAAGCAGTGGTTCTTAACCTGTGGGCCACGGACCACCAGTGGGCCGCGAGGACGAAATTCTGGTCTGCGAGCCTCCTTCCTCTTTATTATTTTATTTTATTTCTGCTCCTTTCATGCTACCTGCCGCTCCTTCCCTGTCACTGACCATGGCATATGTTCTGTATCTGAAACTAGAGCTGATGTGGTCTATCCAATTTTTTGAACCAGGACCCCAAACCGAATCTAGAGTTGACCAAAAACTTATTCGTAACCCTACTGGTACTAATGTTGGAGAGTGGTCCCTGGTCAAAGTGGTCCCTGGTCAAAAAAAGGTTGGGAACCACTGGGCTAAAGCCAGCACTATGAACTGTGCTCATTAGCAGACTGGCAGCCACTGGAGCTGACAGAACAGGGGGAGTTGTGTGCTCCCTGTACACTGCTCCATTGTGGAATCTGGCTGCCACCCACTGGACTACTTGGAACAGTCTTCAAAGGCAGACTCACATAGAGTACATTGCAGAAGTTTATTCAAGATGTAACAAGAGAGTGGGTCACCGTGGCCAACTCTGGCTTCTTAAGGTAGGTGTGCAAGTGGTGCACAAGTTTTAATTGTGCAAATGCTCCCCTGGACATCGACGAAACCTGGGGTTCCATACTCAGCGATGAATCCAGGAGAGCTCCCAAGCTGCGAAATTGTTGAATCAATGCAGTTTGACCCCACTGCATTTGTCTAGCTTACCTGTCTGGATGTATCTCCCTTTATAAGCCAACTAGAGCTTTAAGATTTGCTGGGGAGGCCTTGCTCTCGGTCCCACCCCCTTTGCAAGTGTGATTGGTAGGGATGAGAGACAGGGCCTTCTCAGTGGTGGCCCCTCAGCTGTGGAACTCCCTCCCCAGTGAAATCAGGCGAACTCCATCCCTCCTGGTTTTCAGGAAAAAGCTAAAGACCTGGCTTTTCACACAGGCATTTGAAGAATAGAATAATACAGAATTTGACTTCAACAGCTTGAATAATGACTATGGAAAATCAATAAGCATGGAAATTAACACTCGGCACTTAGTACGTTTTAATCTGTCTTATTGTATTTATGTGATTTAATTGCTCAGATGTTTTACCTTTTTATAGTTGATAGGGTATGTTTTATTGTTATGTCTATGATGTGGCCTTGAATTTTTGCTGGCATTGAATTTTTGCTGGAGCTTGTAATCTACCTTGAGTCCCCTTTGAGGTGAGAAAGCTATGGTATAAATACGGTAAATTAATTAATTAATTAAGTGCCATAGCTTAATGCAGTGTTTCTCAACATGGGGGTCTGGACCCCTGGGGGGTCATGAGGGGGGTTTAAGAAGGGCGCCATAGACCATCAGAAAACACAATTTTCTGATGTTCTTAGGAACCCTTTTGGCAGAGAAGGCTGAAAGTCTTTCCGCCTGTCCTCTTCCTTTTTGGTGTTGGTGAACTACAACTCCCAGAATTCAAAAATAGCCCCCAACCCAACTAGTATTCAATGTTGGCCATGTAGGTAGTGTGCCCAGTTTGGTGCAGATCCATTGTGCGCTGGGTTCAGAGTGCACTTTGATTGTAGGTGAACTATAAATCCCAGCAACTACAACTCCCAAATGTCAAGGTCTATTTTTGCCAAATTCTACCCGTGTTCACATTTAGGCATATTGAGTCTTCATGTAGAGTTTGGTCCAGGTCCATTATTGTTTGAGTCCACAGTGCTCTCTGGAGGGAGGTGTACTACATCTCCAAAACTCAAGGTCAATGTCCACCAAACCCTTCCAGTATTTTCTGTTGGTCATGGGCATTATGTATGCCAAATTTGGTTCAATTCCATTATTGGGGGAGTTCAGAATGGTCTTTGGTTGTAGGTGAACTATAAATTCCAGCAACTACAGCTCCCAAATGTCAAGGTCTATTTTCCCCAAACTCAATCTGTGTTCACATTTTGGCATATTGAGTATTTGTGTCAAGTTTGGTCCAGATCTATCATTGTTTGAGTCCACAGTGCTTTCTGGAGGTAGGTAAACGACATCTCCAAAACTCAAGGTCAAAGCCCACCAAACCCTTCCAGTATTTTCTGTTGGTCATGGGAGATGTGTGTGCCAAGTTTGGTTCAGTTCCATTGTTGGTGGAGTTCAGAATGCTCTTTAATTGTAGGTGAACTATAAATCCCAGCAACTACAATTCCCAAATGATAAAATAAATCCCTCCCCCCAACCCCACCAGTATTCAAATTTGAGTGTATTGGGTATTTGTACCAAATGTGGTCCAGTGAATGAAAATACATCCTGCATATCGGATATTTACATTACAATTCAGAACAGTAGCAAAATTAGAGTTATGAAGTCGCAATGAAAATAATGTTATGGTTGGAGGTCATCACAACCTGGGGAACTGTATTAAGGGGTTGCGGCATTAGGAAGGTTGAGAAACACTGGCTTAATGCTATGGAATTGTGGAAGTTGTAGTTTGGGGAGGCACCAGTGCCCTGCCTTGTCTCCCATGATCCCATAGTATTGAGCAGTTAAAACTCAATGTCAAACTGCATTCATTTGACTTTCTGTGAAATGGGAGGCAGGGAGGCATTGCTATTTATTCTGGAATGCCCTTTCCTAGTGCTGGAATACAAATTGCTTTCTGAGTTGCCTCAGGGGCCTTTTAAAGAGGGAAAGACTCCCCACGCCTTGAACCACTGTGCCAAGGAGAGCATTTCGGACCTGCGATGCCAGCTGAAATGCCAATTGTCTCTTCGAAGGGCGAGCGGGAGACCTGCTCTCTTTCAAAGGGCCCCTGAGGCAAGAGACATAACCATTTCCTATCAAGAAAATAACATTCCCAAGAATCCTCATTGCCCGCAATATCTTTAGAAGGTGCCCATAATAGTGTTCTCTCCAAAAGACTTAAAGAGGGAAGCCTTCAGGTTTGACACACAAGAGGGGAGGGTATTGACTCTGGGAATGCCACAATGCAGCCCTAGAAAGATTTTCAATGAGGCCACCTGTTCCAAAGTTGAAAGCTCCAAGACAGTCTGTATCTTTCAGAAGCAATACGCAAGATCAGATCTTCTAGCGGCAAAGTCTGGAGCCAGCATGGTGCCGCAGTTTTGAGCATTGGCTTGGAACTTTAGAAGAGCTGGGTTTAAATCCCTGCTCAGCCACCAGTGCCCACCTTTGGCAAGCCACACTCTCTCAGCCTCAAGTGGGGTAGCAATTTGAGGCTTGGACTTTGGGAGCTAATGATGGGTGTAAGGCAGGCATGGGCAAACTTGGGCCTTCCTGCCAAGTGTTTTGGACCTCAACTCCCACAATTCCTAACAGCCTCAGGCCCCTTCCTCGCTTAAGCAGCTGAAGGGGAAAAGGAAGGGGTCTGAGGCTGTTAGGAATTGTGGGAGTTGAAGTCCAAACACCTGGAGGGAGGGCCCAAGTTGGCCTATGCGTGGTGTAAGGGAAGGAATGAAATGAGGCCTCCTTTCTTTTGTTCTCCATCTGCGGCCTGCCAGCTTAACCTACTAACCCAGTAACCTGGAACCCTCAGGCATGTCTCTATAAATTTATATATGGGTGTGTCTCTCTAGGTGTAAATCTCAGCAGACCCATTGCATTTATGGGGCTGTTTACCAGGCTACACATATAAACATGGCTGTATGCCAATGGCGTACCTGGGCCTACATTACACACCAAGATAGGGTCGCAAGAAGTCAGAGTTTCCTTGGAGGCATGCAATCACAAGCTACTTATAGGACTCTTTTCCTTGGCTCTCTCCTTATTGAACTTGGTATGATATTTTATCACAAGTCGAATCTCCCGTCTCCAAAATGCTTGGGTCCAGAAGTGGTTTGGAGCTTGATTACAGATTTTGGAATACCTGTCTTGACATATAAGGACATCATGTGCTATTCTGGGTGTTTCATACTCTGCACTGTGGAATCAATGCAGTTTGACACCAATGCCATTCCCCCAGGCAGGAAGCAGCCAGGCATTGAAGCTGCAAGGCCATTCAATGCAAATCAAGCTGGCTACCAGTATTTTAAAAAACCTCTAAAATTAGAGCAACACTCAGAAAACAGAGGAATTCCAGACAGGAGACAATCAGGGCCAGCTAACACCTCCCAACAAAGGATTCCCCCAGGCAGGAAGCAGCCAGGCTTTGAAGCTGCAAGGCCATTCAATGCTAATCAAGGAGGCCAATGGCAACATTCCCACTTGCCTCCAACAGACAAGAGTTCTTTCTTGCACCCTGGATGGACATCATTCCACGGATATATGAACCCCACTTGCCTAGTTTCCAACAGACCTCTGAGGATGCCTGCCATAGATGTGGGCAAAACGACAGGAGAGAATGCTTCTGGAACATGGCCACACAACCTGGAAAACTCACAGTAACCCAAAGTGTGTGCAGTTTAATAAACTTTTCCCTTGTTTTTATAATATAAACAATTAGGAAATGACATTTCTCACCCAGGAACAAAAATTGTGTTACAGAGTATTAGGGGTGTTGTAGTTCCGCCAGCTCTTTGGCCTTCTCTGCCCCAAAGTGCTGGTGCCAGGGCAGTTCAAAAGGCATCAAACTGCATTAACTCTACAGTGTGGGTGCGCCCATAGACACTTGATGATACACATCACCTGAAGGTGGTTTTTGCACTCATTTGCTTCAGGAGACACAGTCTGTGGTCATGGAGCCATCCAAATACCACCCAGGAGACGGGATCCTAGCGGCTGCCCTCCCCCAAGCTTCATCCCCCAGGCCCTAGAAAGGCATCTCCACTGGGGGCCAGCTGGTTCCTGAAATCTGCCCTCCCCCGCTGTTTCTCCTCCTCCTTCCTGTGGCCCCTGCCCATGTACAGAGCGCCCCACTGCCCCTCCCTCCTCACCTGGGACGCCTCCCGGGAGAGGGAGAATGCCCCCCAGCCGCCGGTGCCCTTTCCGCTGCCACCTCCTTTGTCCGCGCTCTGTCGGGGCCGGACCGGCTCCTCCTCCTCCGGCTCCTCCTTCTTTCCTCCCTTCCTTTCTTCCTTCCTTCCTCCTTTCCTTCCCCCCCCCCCCCCCCCACCCTCCTTCTTTCTCCTCCCTTGCCTCTTCCCAGCCATAGATAGATATGATGGAGGGAGAGCGGGCTGAGAGACAGAGATTATTGGTGTATCATGGAATCCTAGAGTTGGAAGGGACCCCAAGGACCACCCAGGCAAGCCCCCCTTCTGTCAGGCAAGGAGACACCACCCAAGCTCTCCAGACAGAGGGCTAGCCAGCCATACATAGAATAGATAGGCTGGAGATAGACAGCATAGAGAGAGAGATGATGGGTGTATCATGGAATCCTAGAGCTGGAAGGGGGCACCGGGGTCATCCAGTCCGACCCCCTTCCGCCAAACAAGAAAACCCCACCCAAACCCTCCCAACAGAGGGCCAGGCAGCCATAGTTAGGATAGATAGAATGGAGAGGGGGAGACTGAGAGAAAGATGATGGGTGTATCATAGAATCCTAGAGCTGGAAGGGGACCCCTGGGAGATACAGTCCAACCCCCTTCTGCCAGGCAAGGAGACCCCCATCCAAGCCCTCCCGACAGAGGGCCAGCTAGCCATAGATAGGATAGATAGGATGGAGATAAAACAGCATGGAGAGAGAGAGATGATGAGTGTATCATGGAATCCTAGAGCTGAAAGGGGGGCCCGGGGCCATCCAGTCCAACCCTCTTCTGCCAAGCAAGGAGATGTCCATCCAAGCCCTCCCAACAGAGGGCCAGCCAACCATAGATAGGATAGATCGTATGGAGAAAGACAGCACAGAGACAGAGATATTATGGGTATATCATAGATTCCTAGAGCTGGAAGGGGCTCCCAGGGCCTTCCAGTCCGACCCTCTTCTGCCAAGCAAGAAAACCCCACCCAAGCCCAACAGAGCTCAGGGGAAGATCTCAGGGGCTCACATGTCTTTACACTAATGCACAGAGCATGGGAAATAAACAAGACGAACTCCAACTTTTAGCACAACACCACAAATATGATATCATAGGCATCACTGAAACCTGGTGGGATGACTCCTATCGCTGGAATGTAGACATCGAGGGCTATAACCTCTTTCACAGAAACCGAACAAAGGGGAGAGGAGGCGGAGTAGCCTTATATGTCAAAAACTGTTATGCTGCAGAAGAGATGCAAGAGAGCAATCCGGGAAACCAGCTTGAAAGCATCTGGATAAGAATCAAGGGAACTGGGACTCAAAAAGATGTCGTTGTAGGCATCTACTACAGACGACCAAGCCAGGAGGAAGAACTTGATTAAGTCTTCTGCCAACAGTTGACAAAACAGGCACAGAGAAGAGATGTAGTAGTCATGGGCGATTTCAACTATCCTGATATTTGCTGGAAAACAAACTCAGCCAAGAGTGTACAAGGTCCAACAAATTCCTCGCTTGCCTTGCAGACAATTTCATGGTCCAGAAGGTAGAAGAAGCAACAAGGGGGTTGGCTACTCTTGATCTCATCCTAACAAATGCGGAGGACCTGATCGATGCGGTTGAAGTGGTCGGATCCTTAGGGGCAAGTGACCATGTGCTCCTGCAATTTGAGGTACAAAGGAAGGCTGAAACTAAGACAAGTCAAATCTCCATTTTAGACTTTAGGAGAGCTGCATTCCATGAACACAGATACTAAAAGACAAGGGAGTTACGGATGGATGGGAGTTTTTCAAGAGTGAAATACTCAAGGCGCAATTGCAAACAGTGCCAACAAAGAGAAAAAATAGGACAAGTGCAAAGAAGCCAGAATGGATGTCCAAAGAACTTCTAACTGTGCTAAAACACAAAAGAGACATGCACAAGAAGTGGAAAAAGGGAGAAATCACCAAAGAAGAATTCAAACAAATAGCCAACACCTGTAGGGAAAAGGTCCGCAAGGCTAAAGCACAAAACGAGCTCAGGCTTGCCAGGGACATTAAAAACAATAAAAAGGGCTTCTTTTCTTATGTCAGTAGAAAAAGGAAAAACAAGGAGGCGATAGGGCCTATTCGAGGAGAAGATGGGGCAATGCTGACAGAGGATAGGGAAAAGGCAGAACTACTTAATGCCTTCTTTGCCTCGGTCTTCTCACAAAAAGAAAGTCATCTTCAACCTCAGCAAGATGGAGTGGATGAGGGATCAGAGGACATCCAACCCCAAATTGGGAAACAAGTCGTCCAGGAATACCTGGCCGCTCTAAATGAGTTCAAGTCCCCAGGGCCAGATCAACTACACCCTAGAGTACTGAAGGAACTAGCGGAAGTCATTTCGGAACCATTGGCAATCGTCTTTGAGAGTTCTTGGAGAATGGGAGAAGTTCCAGCAGATTGGAGGAGGGCCAATGTGGTCCCAATCTTCAAGAAGGGAAAAAAGGATGACCCAAACAATTACCGTCCGGTCAGCCTCACGTCAATACCAGGCAGGATTCTGGAAAAGATTGTTAAGGAAGTGGTCTGCATCAAGAATTTTTTTGGTAGTTGGCTAGATTGTTTCGATTGACTAGATTTATTCCTAACTTGGTTTTTTTCCTTTTTTGATTTTGATTTATCTAGGTCCAAATTCACTACACCGTTAAAGTCTCCTAGCAACAGGAGCTCATCATATTCATAATTGTCTATCGTTCTTTTTAGTTCTTTCATATATTTTAATTTGGGACCATTGGGGAAATAACTATTACAAACAAGAATGCTTTGATTATTTATTTCAATTTTTATTCCCACGAATCTGCCTTCAATGTCTTTTAGAATTAATTTTGGATTCAACCACTCTTTGGCGTAAATTACCACCCCCCTTTTCTTCTCATTTCCCGAAGAATAGAAGTATTTGCCTAATTTCTTGTTTTCAAGGTGCTTCACATGTTTTCCTGCTATATGCGTTTCCTGTAATGCTATGACGTCGTAGTTCTTTTGTTTTAAATTGTTGAAAACTTTTTTTCTCTTGCTTTGGGAGTTCAAGCCATTGGAATTATTCGAGTATATTTTAATGTTTTTATTCATTATTGTTTTCTTGCATCTCCCATTGTGTAATCTCCTGCGGAAGCAACAATTTGTAATTCTCAGGAGAGAATTCTCTTAGTCTTTTATTTTCTCTTTCTTTATATTCTATCTTGGCTTTGTCATCTATGTTGAATTCTTCCTCATCCTCTCCTTCGGGTCCTTTTCCTTTCTTAGATATAGTTGTATTCTCTTTGGCTTGTTCCTCGGTTTTGTTACCTTGAAATTTTCTTTGTGCATATTCTTCTTTCGGGTTTTTTATATGGTCATTGTAGAAGGCTCTGGCTTTATCTTCAGAATTTAGCCAGAACCTTGTGTCATTTAATGTCACTGTTATTCCCTCTATTTTCTCCCATCTGAATTTTTTTTTTTTTATAAGTTCTTCTGTCAGAAAGGCGTATTTCCTACGTTTGGTTAGGGTTTGTTGTGTGACTTCCTTCATTATTATTATTCTTTTATCCTTGTAGAAAATCGGTTTTCTGGCATTTTCTTTCAGAATTTCATCCCGAGTACTTTTTCTACAGAAGCTTACCACTATGTCTCTGGGAGTCTTGTTTTTTTTGCGTATCCAGAGGGTACCCGGTATGTTCTATCTACGTCTTGTCCGATGATTTCGTCACTTACATTGAGGAGCTCCGCCAATAAATTAATTATTGTCCCTTTTAGATTTTCTCCTTTTTCTTCCTCTAAATTTCTTATTCTTAATTGATATTCAAGCTCTCTATTTTCCAGAAGCTCGATTCGCTGTTGGAATTTTTGGTTCATATCTTCCAGTTTGTTTATTTTATGTTCCCATTTTCCTTGTGATTTCATTATTTTTTGGTTTTCTTTCTTCACATTATCTACATCCAATCGTAGTTTGCTTATATCTTCTTTTAAGTCTGTCTTTATTTTTTGGATTTCTTTTTGTAATTCTTGATGCTGTGTGTCTTGTTTAGTGGATAAGCATTTAGAGGACTTAAATCTGATAGATGTGTGGAGACACATTAAAGGTCCTGAGATAGACTACACCTACTATTCGGGAAGACACCAAACGTGGTCCCGTATAGATATGGCGTGGGCCACTAAATCCCTAGGCTTAAGAATAAAAGACATAAAAACAATAGCCAGAGTCCACTCTGATCACTGCGCTTTAGAGATAACAATCAGAGGAAGAGAAACCTCTTTCAGATGGAGACTTAAAGACCACCTACTGACAGCAGAAAAAGACGTAGAAAAAAACAGGAAATTACTAGTGGAATACTTACAACTAAACAAAGGCGATGAAACTTCGAAAACTACACAATGGGAGGCTATGAAGGCCGTAATGAGGGGTTATCTAATACAACAAGAATCTATTAAAAATCACTTAAAAATAAAGAAATCAAAAAAATCTGGGAGGAATTAGAGAAGGGGGAGCAAATTCTAAAATCTAAACCCAATGATAATAAAACAAAACTAAATTTAGAGATACTAAAAAAACAACTAGCATTATTAGAAACTGAAAAACTGGACACACAAATGAAATATATGAAAGTAAACTACTTTCAAAATGCTAACAAAGTGGGCAAGTGGTTGGCGAAAAAATTAAAAGAACGCAAACAAAAACAGCTCATAACTAAGATACAATCGGAAGGGAAGATCTACACTGAGGGCAATGAGATTATAAATAAGTTTACTAAATTTTATAAAGAACTGTATAAAGCAAGTAATATCTCTAAAGAAGAGATCACCAAATACATATGACAATCAAAACTTCCCAGGCTATCAGATGAACAAAGAGACTTAATAAACGGACCTATCACAACAGCAGAAATAGATGCAGCAATACAAAAAATGAAAAATAATAAAGCCCCCGGCCCAGATGGCTTCACTGCTATTTTCTACAAAAAATTCAGAAATGAATTAGGCCCACTACTATTACAGATATTAAATAATATATTAGAAAACAAAATAATCCCTAAATCTTGGGAAAAAGCAAATATAAGCCTGATACATAAAGAAGGTACA